ATATTCATTTTTACAAAAAATGAACAAAATAACGAAGACCCAGATCAGTGAATTGGGGTGGAAGTTGAATAATAGTATAACTGATTCCTGTCTAAGAAATAATTTATTGATTATGATAATATGATTTCTTTTAAATAATTTATATAGTCTCAGATAAATTACTTTTCTTAATTAAAGAATTTAGAACAATCAATAATAATTCCAAAAAAGTTGTGTTTATTTAAAGATAATAAACTTTATTTTATTTTTAAGAGATTCATTACAAATGTTAATTTTATTAATTAATGCTATAGCTTTATTGAACTTATTTTTTTTCTTCTCTACTCTTAAGTCTTCTCTATTTATAGTTGAATTTCCTTCCAGTATTCTCGTCACGATCCCACTCTTATCATTTTTGTCTTGATTCGCTAGTTGGTATCCTATTGGTACATCTTCATATATTCGGGATTTATTAGTACTCTATATCAGATCATTCTCCCCAACGATGCATCAATTATGGCTTTGATGCATCGCTGCATCCATACCGATACTAACTTCACTAACCCCCTAATTTCACTAATCACGAGATCTGATCCCGTGGCCAATATATCACGCGGATCAGAATCTACGTGATGACGTAGACAATTCCAACGTGTGTGTTACAAATAAATTCAATCACAATGCATTTCTCACAATCGGACGGACCAGAAACAAATAAAAAAAATAAATTCTACATTAATAGCAAAATGACAACATTTTCAATAATAATATTCAAAAGTATCGCGATGATAATTCAAACATATTTTGTAAATATGGCATGTCAATCACCAACTCCAATTAATAACGAAAAATTACGAAAAGAAAGTATCTTAATATCCTATATTCCATTGATTGGGCAGACAGGTGCAATTTTCTCAACATCTTTATACATATCTCTCCTAATTTACTATTACAACATCAACGAAAATACAGCAGAAAATAATAATCAATTACTGAGGATAACCCCGTATGATATAATATTCTATCTACTCTCAATATTTGGCGCGATTTTGCGTATCAAATGCTATCAAGTTCTAGAAAAGTTCTTCACCTTCCATCTCACAATCCACGAAGAGCACAAACTCATCACGACTGGACCATATAAGAATCTACGTCACCCATCTTATTCTGCAATGATGCTGTTAGCTATAAGCGAACTGTATTTAGTTTTCGTGCTATTTGATAATATCCCGGATTCATGGTGGTTGTTTATAGAATTTCGCGGGTTGGTGACAAAAGGAATGATTGTTGGTGTTGTCCTTTTAGGTTTGTATTTGTTGATGTTTCTTTGGTCTAGAATTAAGTTGGAAGAAGAGATGTTAAAGAAAAAGTTTGGAAAGGAATGGGATGAGTATGCGAGCACGAGAAAACGACTTATTCCTTTTGTTTTTTGAACAAGCCTTGAGTTTTATCATTAGCATAATGTTTTTATTTTGAACAAATTTTCATTTTTTCTTCAACCTCATATAGTACTAGTTGCGGGCTTTTAACATTTTTAATATCAACAAATGCTCATTTAGTATTCTTTTTATACTTCTGAATCACTAAAAAAAACCACTTTACTCACTGCCATAAAATAATCAATAAATTTTGTTGAAACCAATTTATCAGATACATGTAGTAGTAAAGTCATATTTTTATACATGTATGTATGTATTAAACAATAAACTGTTATTGCATATTAACTTCGGAACCTTTATATTTTCCGTTCTTTCAAACTACATGTATAAGAGTAATTAATTTTAATATATTTTTCTTACAATAACTCACATTTCATTTTTATCATTATATTAATTTTATTATATTCTTTTATTTCGAAGATAGATATTCTTCTTTTGTAAAATTCTTAATAAAATTTCACACTTTGTGCTTTAGACCTTGGGTCTTGTACAAAATCCCGAGAACACATGACGAACGAAATCCCGAAATCGTGATAATTTTGGTGTTCTATGCATTTGGGCTATACTTTCGGGATTTCGTTTCTCGGGCTTATGAACTTTCGAGATCGTTTTCTTCGGAAATTTAAATGCTACCGTTATACAGTGGTCGATATAAATATTCGGAATGTCGATCTGGTGCACAAAACGTCGCGTAACGTTACCAATTTTAAATATAAAATTTGTTTAATAGTAAACACAACAACGTAAACATTTTTGCCATCAGTTTTGCACCCGTTAGCAAAAAAAAATGCCTCCCATTTCCAAGCACGAAGCACAAAGAACGGTAGTAAGTCAGCTTTGGGCAAATAATAGGAAACCTGCAGAAATTGTGCGAATAACAGGTTTTCCTAAGTCTACGGTGTATGATATAATCAATCGGATTAAAAAATCAAGTATTATGCCATTTCCCAGACCTGGAAGACACCCAATTCTCACAGTTGAACAATATCGCATTCTTGGTCGATTGGTGCAGATCAATAATGCCACCACTGCAGCTGAAATGATTGAAAGACTTAAACAAAAAGATCCTAACTTGAAAGTTTCCATTTGTACAATTCAACATATCTTAAAAAAATCTTCAATTTTGATATTTGTCATCTGCTATGGATTTTTCTTTTAAAGCCTCATCATATTGCAACTTGTCTTGAATGGGCACAGAAATGTATCTGTCAAAATTGATCTCACATGATTTTTTCTGATGAAATAACCCTTCAAATACTCAGTTAATAAGATATTGTCATGAAACATCACAATTAAAGATGGCTCCTCAACTGTTGCAATGTGATGACAAATAAGTATCATCTAGTTGCAACTTATAAAATTTTGGAGCTGCAACATGTTGCAACAGGTGACAAATAAGTATTACATACTTGTTACACCATCTCTAATCACAATCATATAAAAGTATGATGAAGTATTTCTATAAGATTTATGCTTGGAATGCTTTTGGTATGCAAAAACAAATTATACTTGTCTTGTTAATTAAAAACTTCAATACTAAAAAATATCAAGAAATTCTTGAAATACATCTTTTCTTTATATTTTTATAGCAAATCATAGATTATATTTTTAATAGAACAACTTTCCAATTCATAATGCAGGTAAAATAATTAATATTTTTTTATTAAATTCTTGATTAATCTTTTTATTTATTAAATATTAATTTCATTAAGAATTTATGAATTATACTTAAGAAAAAGAAAATTAATAAAAAAACTTTCAATATAGAGAAATTTCTCTAAATACACTCTCTATAAGTGTATATTCTTCTTAAATATATCTTTTAGTTTTGTTTTAAGTTAAACTCATAATATTAAATATAGATTTTTTATATTCTATATATGCAATAATTTTTAGGTTCTATTATAATTAATATTATTTTCTAAGTATATAATATGTAATCAAATCAGATATATTCAATAAAAATCAAGTTAATTAAAAATTAAATTATTAATCAAGATATATATTATTATTATATTATTAATTGAAGTATATATTATTATTATAATATCATTGATCAAAATCTGTATTATTAATGAAATTTGTATTTATTATTATTATTATCAGTAATTATTATAAAAATTCTAAATATTTTATATTTAGTACTTATAATAATTACTAAAAAAAATTTTATTCTAATCACTATATTTTTATCTTACTATAAATTTTTTTCATATTTTTATTATCAAATTTCACTATTATTTATTTATTATTAATATTATCTAAGAAAAAGATAATTCTAATAAATTAAAAATATAAATTTTATTTTTATGTTAATAATAAAAACTTGTG